AGGTTTCTTGGTTGCCACTTGGCAACTCAAAGCTTCAGCTTCTTCCACAGACTTTCTACAGGATTGAGGTCTGGAGACTGTTTAGGCCACTCCATGACGTGCTTCTTCTTTAAGTATTCCTTTATTGCCTCTTTGGTATTTTTAGCGTCATTGCTGTGCTGGAAAAAGCTGTAGGGGATCAAATACTTATTTCACTCAACGACACATAAATCAATTCATAACAAATATGTAATATCTTTTTTTTTTTGTTTGGTTGATATTCTGTCTCTCTCACCATTAAAATAAAACTGCCATAAAATAGATATGTTTTCTGAACTTACAAATTTAGCATATTTTGATTAGAGATGCCCGTTTTAATGCTAAAATCATGTGTTTGAACAGGCAATGTGTTTTCATTTGTTTTGTACAATTCATGTAAAGCTTAGCTCTGACGTGCTCAGAATCCTTGGTGCAAAGACTCCATTAAGGAAAAGCTTTCATCCATCAATCTTCTACCACTTATCTGGGTTTGGGTCATGGGGGGCACCAGTCCAACAATCAAAATCAAGAAGTGGTGGGATGCCCATCCTCAGCATTGTCAACAATGGCTGAGAAGAAACTGCTCCTGGCTGTCAATAAATGTGATCAGTATTCAAGAAGACCTGAAAATGAATTTGGTTTCATACACTGCCTGTGGACACAGAACCTAACACTGTACTTAGCTCAATTGATTCTATCATGTAATATAAAATAGCTCATAATTACAATTCCTTTCTTCATCTCTTCCTAAAAATCTAAGCTATACTTGCATCATTCAGTCACTGTCGCATATTCCTCTCATGCAGTATTACACACACAATCCGATACATTAAATAAACCTTGACATTAGAAGCAAAAGAAGGCAGAACAAAGAGCAGTGAAGTTGGCTTGGCATTACATGATACAAACTACAGAATGACTTTGAAAAACAAAGTCTCCTCCCAAACTCAAAAGGTAATCTTGCATTTTCTTTCTCTATATTATCAAAACTATCTCAGCAATACTGTCCCTCATTGTTTCCATGTGTTTTTATGCAGTTGCCTGATGTTTCACAGGCAGCACCGTGAGGCAACATGCTAAAATTCACATAAAGGCCTCCGGTGTCATCGCTAACAAACATTTTGTTGAACGTTACATAGTGAACCTTTAAAAACAACTTTTAAAAAAAGTTAAATGGTGCGAGCAGATGAGCTGTCTGCAATTTTGAATCTGTCTGTGACTTTAGGGACTGTCTGTACCAGTTCACAATACAAATGGAAATAATGGAAAAAAATTTTCACAGATTTCCAAAAAGAATCCTAAATTTAATTGAGGTAGTCCATGAAGGAATTTCATGGCAAATAATAGATTTTATGTCTTGCTGAACTCTTTGTTCATGTTTCACTCTGAAACATTCTGTTCCCTTTGGGTGATTTCTAGTTTCTGCAGATACATCGTGACTGAGCTTTGTACATCCAGGTCATTTACAGTGGTGCCAAAACCCAGAATGGGGGGCGCAGCAGACCAGGACATTTCAATGCTCTTCAGCATGCTTTATTTCACAGTTGCTGTTAAACATACACGAATGGCCACAGCTCTACCACTGCCGGCCGCACACATCACCAACAACAACCACAACTCAGACTGAGCAAAGCCTTTTAAGTTGGCGTGATAGCAGATGCCGCGCAGGTGCGTCCGTCTCACCTGCAGCACCATCGCAGACCCCGCCACACCACCCATCCATGAGCTACTGTTACTATAGCTGGCATATTTATTTCAAGTTATTTATTTCATATTCTGTATAGTTTTTCATATTTATATCCTGTCCATATCCTGTACATAGCTTGTACTCACTACAGCCTACATACTTATAGTTATAGAATATTCACAACATACTTCATACCGTGTACATTATAACATACCATAATAGACCCATTTCTGTAATATACTTACATATCTATATTATTGCTAATATATATTGTAATATATCTATATCACTAAAGCACTTCTGGATGGATGCAAACTGCATTTCGTTGCCCTGTACCTGTGCATGTGCAATGACAATAAAGTTGAATTCTATTCTATTCTATTCTATATAACCCTTTCACATAAAGCACTGACATGAGCAACTAAACCGCACGAAAATAAAACACGAACTAAACATAACTAAACAAATATTATCAAATATTATCAAATTGTCATCTAGTGGTTCAGTGGGTATATAGCTAGCAGCCTAGAAAAGACATTTTCTTCTACTATGAAGACCGTATTTTTCCCCTTTAGGTTGTAAATGTTCTCAGTTGCCTGCGTTCCCCACTGTGATAAAAAAAAAAAAAAAATCCTTTCATGTCCTGGAAATAGCACACCCAAAATATTCCCAGTTTCTTTCCAGTATTATGGAACATACTTGGGGATTTCCTGATGTAATAACTGTATATCACATTGTGATGCAGCTCAAGCCAACACATTAACCACAAATACATGCAAACAGTTATATAGCAGGAAATGCAGGATATAGCGCAAAAGCTATTTTAATTTTGGGGGGGATGGGACGGGCTATTCCTCGTACAACCTGGGATTGTTCCCCCACACAGTGTGTCATCACAGCAGCCCACACTCCAGACCTGGAAAGAAGCCCACACTCCAGACCTGAGGTACTGTAGTAGCAAACCTTGCAAGTTTCAGCCAGTGATTCATCCTCCTTCATTGTAACAACACCCACATGCACACTCATACAGCCACATGGTTCTATTATAACCAGTAACTGGCCCCTTAGAAAGCTTTCTTATAATACTTAGGAATTCTCGTTCAATTAATAAAAAAATGCTTATTCATGAACATTCCTGATGAAAACTGTCCATGCGCCAGGGTCAGGACATTATTTATCCAAAATGCAGTTTACACTGGCTCTGCAGTGACTTCACAGAAGGCTACACTATCACTGTCTGTTAGTATAGTCAGTGCAGTCAGCGTGAAAGCAATCCCAAAATATGAGATAAATTAAGATTTTGTGGGTTCATAGATAGATATGCCGGGTAAATTTCCTCCTTTAAACTAATGGTGTGTCCTGCTAATGTATTGGTTTGCAGATGAGTTTGATCATCAGGAGAGATTTCAAGCAGATAAAAAAGGCAGAGAGAAGGAGATGAACAGATGGCTGATGGCTGGAAAGTAACATTCCCAATTTACACACTGTGATTGACACTTCAGTAGCACTGTTAGGAAAAAACAAAAAGACTTCCTCTCTCACTCTCTGCATCTACACACAGTAAATTATCACAGAGATTTCTGCCAAGTACATCTATCTTGTCACTGCACTGATTCATACACTATGGTGTTGTTGTTTTTTTGATGAATTTCTTTTCTATCGAATATAAATGTTTGTGTGTGTATTCTGCACTTTCATCGGGAAACCTTTCATTTATTTCCATATGAATTCACTTCTATGGATGAACTTGGCCTGATCGTATGCCGTTTTCTTTTTGCAGCCTGCCTATATTTATAAGGCAGAACCCAACAGCATTAGATTCTGCGCATAAACAGCATCATCTGTTGAGTGAACACACACAAAAGAGCTCGGTTTATGCTGTACGGCATAATGAAGGCCAACGCCAACCCATCTTGATGCGTCCATCTTTGTAAGGATGTGCGACTTATACGCAAGGATAAAGATCACTAAGCTGAGTGGCGATGGATGCTTCATTCATGCTGAGTCATGATATTAGGGCAAAGCTGATCAATAATAAACATCCATCCACATGAACCTCAGTTAGAGGCTCTCAGGTGTGTAATTTGAAACCAGTGAACCACAGATTGTATTTAGCGAAATGTCAAACTACAAAATTCCTTTAAGTTGCGGACATCGCTCTTACAAAAAAACAAAAATGTAACCATACCCTCGAGCACTTTTCGTGTGAAGACCTCGTTGAGGGCAAGTTTCACCAATACTCTAGGACCAAAAACAACTCTTGCGACTCACAATGGCACAAAACTCATCAGCCCTTCATCTGGACAAGCTAAAAATAAACGATAGAGAAGGAGTCCTAGTATTGCATTAATGCACTGAACTCACCCCTGATTTTGTGGAGCTCATGGATGAAAGAACGAGCAAACGGTCTAAAGTCTCCCACAGCAGCACAGCTCACAAAAGTTCATGAGAGCGGATCTGTGTGCGACTATTTGAAGATGTGTGCCAGGGTATTTGTGCTGCCCCTCAGTCAGCGTGTCAGCAGCAGTTGTGTATATAAATGGGTACAAGAATGCTCTAAGCTCATAAATGGCATGCGGCACGCTAATGTGAGGACACTGAATTGGCACTATTGTGGATGCCAGTGTCTCACACTGAGGGCCTGCAACTGTCATGCTTCTTTTTTATACAAATTTACAAATAAGCAACAATCCTTAACATCTGTGATATAGTGTATACATATACAGACTAATGAGATGGCAAAGTAGAGCTTGATCAAAGGGTCAGGAAACAAAGAGTAAAATGAGATGAAAAGTATTGCTGTGGTACTGAAAGCCTTTTTTAGTAACTGTGGGCTGTGGTCATAATCATGACTTAGAAATAGCAGCCACCTGTTGGTGCTGGAGATTCTGGCACAGCATAGAACGGCAGGCTGGTCGCTAATGGGAAACAATTTACACAATTTGTCCCATAGCGACAAAAGACTGGCAGAAATGGACAATCCCTATCATATTAAGTCTAGACATTGTATTCCATTGTTAGATCTATGCTGTTATTGTCCTGATTTCAATAAGAAACAAAGAAACTATATATTTAACCAAAGAAAAAGTAAAACACCAGTATTAATTAATAGATTAATATTATGTATTAGTATTATTTTTGAAGATAAAATTATACGTATAATAGAACAGCCTGCGCTTTAACAAAGGACATTTGTTATTTTTATTGTTATTTTTCTAGGTTCGTGACAACTGCCAAAAATGCTAAAGAACACGTTTCTAAGATCTGTCAATTTCAAATGTATACAAAAGAAAAATAGATATTTCTGAAGAAAGGTCAACTGCAGAGGTAAGTGTAAGTTATGCTTTATTCAATGGAAATATTTATGCATCGCTAGTATTCTACAGTTTGGTGTAGAATAAAAATAATGGCATTGGCATTCAATGCCAACAAATAAAGCCCTCACTTGTTTTCCCTCACAGAATTTGGGATGGCGAAATCTTCAAGAAACACACGCTTCAGTTTCTCTAAACTCAGGTACTTTTTTTTTTTGTATCTTTTTTCAGCCAAAATCATATTTGCAAGAAAGAGCTAAATAATTACTTTATATAACCAATTCAAAAATGTAGCATTGAATCTCTGTTTTTAGTCATCGACTTTTTGTTTTCATTACTGGTCGTTAGGAGAAATCCATCAGCAGCTGACAGGAGGTTCTGCATGACGTGGATCAGCACGATGGTAAAAAGACAAGTGGAGAAGCAAACTGCAGAACTGCGTAGAGAGTTTTCTCTCATGAATCAGGCCCTGAGAGAGGAGATGGCAGCTGAGCTTCAGGAACAGCTGAGAGAACTATTGTTAGAAGAAACAGACAAGACACCATTGTGCTGCAGCAAGCTGGGCTCGGACCTGAGATTGGCGTCGAGGTGGCAAAGGGAAATGGCGGGAGGATTCGAAAACACTGACGAAGACTACGAAGATGGGGAGATACCAAAAACATTAGCCTTTTCTGAAACACACAATGACACAAACAGCATGTTCATATTGAGAAAAAGCCCGAAAGAGGAATCCTTAAAGATTTCATTGACCAGTGATTCCAGTGACACTGACTCAACAATTAACAGAAACATCTCCAAAGATGTACAAGGGAAGCCAGACTCAGGTACATGCAAGCAACAGAAAAATCAGAGCTCTTCCTCAGATGTCACTCCTATCTGGGACAGCGCCGCTAATCACTTCTGCACTACGCAAAGCTTCATTTCCAGTGAATTCAGCCATGAGAGTGAGGATGATAGTGTAAGAGAGGCTTTGATGATGGACAACCAGTGGAAGGAATGGTTGGACAAGCAGGAAATGAAAGGATACAGCCACAAAAAAAAGCCAGTTAAAAGTCAAAACAATATGGAAAAACAGGGAACGGCAGCATCTGGTGTACCAGAGAAAAAAAAGGATCAAAACTTGAAAAGGGGTGACACTATGAAGAGATTTAAGACATATATCAGTGATGTCTTTAGCTCTCATGCATCGCATAAGTGGAAGAAGTTTGAAAATGAAGATGGAAGCTCATGAAAAACAAAAAACAAAAAAATAACTGATAAAAACTGAGCATACAATAAACTAACTTGTGCATTACGATTATAGTCTCCAGCTTCGATTGACTTTTGAGTTGCAGAGCACATTAGCTTGATTTACAAGTTGGTAAGTGCTGAAAAAATGAGGGTAAACCTTTCTGGTGACCTTTTAGGCCACATAAAGGCAAAGTGCCTGCCTACAGATAACCTTTATCTGACATCCGACACCCTGAAAGGAAAACTAAACAACCTCTCACTGAATCAATAAAAGGCAACGTTATGTAAATGAATCTCTGGCCAAATGACTGCAATAAGTCTGTACTGCGATTTAACTTGATTGAAACAAAGTGGTCTTTACTGATACGTGTAAACAAACTTTTCTGTGATGAACAAGAATGCATTCATCCAGTGGATAAATTTGAGCTGCAGATTTGCAGATATAACATAGGATAGGATGGCCCCAGTTTTTCTTTTTAGGCTAAATGAGAAAGTTTCATGACAGTTTAAATTCATACTTATATGTTAGATACAGTCACACAAGCACAAAACAACAGAAAATAACTTAAAGTATCCCATATATTACCTTACAATATATTATCATATATTACCTTAAAATGTTTGTTTAGTGACGTAGGTGTGCACTCCAGTGGTATTATAGTTTAGATCAGTAAAACAGTCACAAAAGGAATAAATCAGAAAGCCATAGCAGCAGTAGTAGAAAAAACATCTACCTTAAAAGAAAGGTTTTGTGTGTGTGTGTGTGTTTCTGTGTGTTTTAAGACTTTCTGCACTACAGTTTATTACATCTACCAAGTGTATGGATTTTAACTGAGCTATTTTATTGCCCTCTTTATTACCTCTTATTCACATCCTACTGCCTTCTCTGTTTTTAAATAAGAAATTTCAAGTTAGCAGTCGATAATTCACAGAGTGAGAGGAGTTCTCTTGAAATTCAAGTGTTTTCCAATATCTAAGAAGAATATTAATCAAGGGAAAATGTTTAAATCAATCTGATAGCATCCCAGCTGCTTCAGAAAACATAGAAGTGCGATACAGATCCCTTATTTGCTTTAAAAGGATACGGTACTTATACTGTCTGGAGAGTACGGACTGTAGTGAGTTGTCGGTATATTTTCAGTATAATGAATTGCTTATGATCACGTGCATTCACTGAGCCAAGAAGCCTTGCTGTTCGCATGCTGTTAGTTTCCTCTTTTCTCTCTGGGGGGCCATGTCAGTTTTGTACCAGTAGGTGGCACTAAGTCACTTCCAAGGTCCAGCAACCTTTAGATGCAAGCTCAGCAAAATGATGCAGTCAGGGCCTTAAATACAAACATACCCACAGGGAATTTTGACTCAAAAAATCAAAGTCAAAATGTATCTAATGCGGTAAAATTCAAGCAAAAAGTAGATATTAGCTACAGTATGTACAGCTGTTTGTGGGAGGAAAAAAGTTTTCAAATCTTAGCAGAAAACCACTCAAGTAATCGCTTATTTTCCTTCCTACTTTTTATAACATTGCCAAACCATAATTAGGATGTAAGCATGTAGTGACTGGGTGGCTATTAAATGCACTAATTGTCTCAGTGAGTGTTAAGAGCTAGACAAACATAAATCTACAATTCATATCCCATTTGCTAAATATTTGTTTATTTTAAACCTACGTGTGTAAATGCTTTCAGTAGGATTTCAACAAAAAATGATGTCACCATCTCTGTATAACACATTATATCTTGGTGTCACTGTTAGAGTGGCATCACTGTATGTGTGCATAACAACTGCTGGCAAGCTTTCAGTTGCCTCCAGTCATTTTCAGGAAACATCATCATCAACAGCAACATCCGACCTCCTGGATTCTTTAACAGGCCCTCATGTGAAAAGAATATCTCTGCCCAGCCACTATGAGATGCATCCTTCCACACCAATGTTTCAGGACAGCAGCGGTCACGTCTGTTCCATGTTGGGATGGAAACCCCAGAGCTTGAGCTGAGTTAACTTTAATCTGCTTACTTATGTTAATAAAGGAATTTTCACGTTTTCTTACTTGCTATGTTTGACCTACATGTGCCATGTAGGAAAATAGGATCGCATAGAAGTCTGCCAAGTCAAATGTTTGCTCACATTCACAAAAGTGATATTGTTCTGTCGTGTGTTTTTATCTTAGGCTAAAACTCAGTCATTGCAATATTAGAAAGAAACCCCCAACAATCAGATGATCCCCCAGGAGCAAACACTTGGCAAAAGTGGGGAGGAAAAACTCCCTTTCAAGTTAAACTCTACACTGTTAAAAAAAACATCCTAAAACAACGGTAATATTCCGGCAGCTGGGGCGCCAAAGTACGACCGTGAAATAACAGAAAATAACTGTCCCATAAAAATACGGTTATTTTCAGTAATGAAAATAGAGTTTGTTGCACTAATTTGACATGGGATTCTGCCTTTTCCAAGTGCTTTTAGACATTAAATTAGGAACATTTTTACGCGATCAAACAATGAAATTACCTATAAACAAGGTCACTGAATGTGGAAATATGAATCATAATATGTAAATGTACAGAAATATACAGTTAACAGTTGGTTTACGTAATAATTGATTGCATGCCCTGGGACAGACTGACAGAGACGAGGCTGCCATATTGCACTATCGGCCCCTTTGGCTATCACTAGTAGGCGGTAGGTGAAGAGTCTTGACCACGGACACAACGACGGAGAGCGTCCAAGCCGGGGCGCGAACCAACAACCTTCTGATCACAAGGCGAACTGCCAACTCTTGAGCCACGAATGGCCTAACTAGCAACGACAATAATACTTATGTGATGTAACACAAGCTTATAGGGATCATGTTATACTTTCCCATTGCATTACATTTGAATTCAACAGTTCAATCTTTCAAATAACGGACAGATATTTGTGAAATCATGATACATTTGTGAATGTATTTTAACAATCTAAATATGCATATGTACAGACAGATACATTTAATAATCATGACAATTATGTTGTATTACATTACAATGATTTAACGTTAACTTACATTCAAAATGTGAAGTCAAAGTCTCTTTACGTAACTTTAATGATATTCTAGAAGAACAGAACATTACTGTGAAATGCACAGTAAAATACCTTCATATGAGGGGTTTTTCCTACGGTCGCAGCCATACCCGCGACCTTGTTGTTAGTTCACATTCATTGGCCGATGCTTAGCGTCATGTTATTTATATTAATTGCAATTCCTACCTCTACATTTCTTTTTCAAAATATATAATTAGCACAGCGTGTCCATGCAATGTTTTACATTGTGGTATGCAGAGAAATCTTAACAAAGAAGCTCACAGAGAGAGATCGAGCTTGTGATTTAACCCCAAGCTAGTACACTTGCCGGTGCTACAATGTGCCTCAAGGTTCAACAACAGCACAACAGAAGTCACTCATGGTACAGCACTCTCTCTACAAAACAACAACTGTCAGTGATGCTGCACCACGGCGTAAACACAACATTCAAGATAACAGTTAAACGTAACGTAACCATAAACAATAAAACAAGAACATCTAAACAGCAGCACATGCCCCAAGGCATGATGGGAGACATTTCTGGATGTATTTTTACGATCTAAATATGCATATGTACAACAAAATATATTTAACAAACAAGTAAAATGTGTTTTATTACATTTACAGTGATGTTATGTTATTTTACATTTGACGTGTCAGATCACAGTCTACTTATGTAAATGTAATGCTATTCTAGAAAAACAGTACACATCTGTAAAATACACAGTAAAATCATTTGACATTACTATTTTTTGGAACAGTGTACATCAGCCCTACAGTCATGCAAATTCACTTCTATATTCCAGAGATTTTATCAAATAGTGGACCAAAAACCCCTAAAAGAGGCAAGGAAAAAGTGAAGCAGCTCTTTAAATAAATGACTCCCGCTGTAAATATTTTCCTGCCTCACTCTGACACTCTATTAACAGCTTTCTTTCAGTCTGTCTCTCTTGCTTTCTCTGGATCAATAAAGTGCCTTTTCAGATGATTGCAATGGCTTCCCAAGAAACCCAGTGGGCAAACAAAGATGTTCTCCTAAGTTCAAGCACTGCAGATTACTTCATTCTAAAATCAGGCAATAGTCCACTCTACCTGCTCTATATTGTTTTCTTAAAGGGATTCATTATATAACTTCAGACGTATTTCTAGTGGTTTATAAATCGTTAATATGTTGCTGACATAACCCATGTTATAGGGAGCACAAATACTCAGTATTTCAACTATTAAAATATAACTTTTTAAAAGATGTCATTCTACAGTCATTTGAGAACTGCATTTATATTTCAAAATAATCATTATCATAAGGGCAATATGCACACCATGCATTAATAAGAAGGCAATCCAAACTGAAATGCCAGACACATTTTTTCTTACTTTATTTACTTTAGCTACTAAAGATCCAACATGGACCCTGATCAGCTGCAGAATAAAAAACACTTATGACTAGCTGACCACTGTGGCAGCTTAATCTATGCTACAAGGAAGCTCATTTACAAATATTCAATATCTCTTCCTCACCACAGAGGAAGTGGGGCCTGCATTGAGTTGCAAATAATCTGCATGTGATTAGCATGAAGAGCTGGGAAAAAAAATACACACACACAGCTTCTGGCCACAGTGTGTTGTTTTATCTGGTAAGAATGGCCATACCCCACCTGTGTCATGTTACTGTTGTGTCCTTGCTTTCATCTTGTGCATCCAGCCTTTTAAAAGGTGTCAGCTGGTAGGTTGTTAAATTTCAAAAGAGTTGAAGGTTAGAGGAGGACACATAAAGTAAGAGACACACAAGCTTTGATTGGCCTCTCAAACAAGGAAATGACTTTTATATTTTGTTAAATAAACCACAACTTTCCCGATATTCACAAAATGGGCTATTGTGGCATGTCATGTGAAATTCGACTACCCTCCCTACACACGAATCCCCTTCCTACACTGAACCTCTGCTTTGATCTGATGATGATTAATCTATGTGGGAGGG